AAAGGTCTGTTCCGAATAATAGGGTTGCGATCCTAAAGTTAATGTGGGTTACTATCGTGCGTCACTTTCTTATTATCGTTTGGTTTGTTGGTGTGTCATGATATATAATACAAAAACACCTTAGGTGTGAAAAAAGGTGTGGCCAAAAAATGATTGAGTGTGCGACTTAAAGGAGTGAAATTAAAATTGGCGGCCAAACTGGTAGCTACACTTATAGCATTGATAATCATTTTAGAGCAAATATTCATTCATTAATTAGCTAGTCCGCGTATTTTGTTTTACCTACTTTCATGCCCAGGTTGACAAAAAACGCGGCCTGGCTAACTGGTGAATGAATATTTGCTATAAACGTCTTATCAATGTAACTACCAGTTTGGCCGCCAATTTTGATAACCTTTGATACGACAAATGAATGTGTAGCTGTTTATGTTGATCTCACAAACAGTAAAAGTATTATAAGTGCTGACCTCCTACAAAACAAATAGATACCACCTCTATTTAACAACGGTTATGATTCAAACAATAACTACATAATGTGTTTGTTGTAAAGTACAAAGCAATACATTTGGCTATCTGTGCTGTGCCAACCCGTTTAGCTGTACGAGTCTGCAGATTTACCGTTGAGCCGCTGGGGGCCAACTACATAATAATAGGTGATATAAATCGTAAGCATGCCTCATTTGGTTGTACTAAGACAAACTCAAATGGGATTAAACTACTAAATTTTATAGACAATAACAATTGTGTGTTACTCAATGTTGACACACCCACACATACCAGTTTGGCCCATAACACCAGTGACATTTTGGATGTCTGCCTATGCTCATCAGATCTTAGCCAAAAGTGCCAAAGCTGTAATGTAGGTTTTGATATATAGCTTTGGAAAGGGAGAAGTGATCAGTGTTAGAACTCGAACTGTAGGGTACAAACCCTGATCCTAAGACGTAATACGTATAGCTTTTCCCCGAGAACTCAAAAACAAAATAAATATAAAATCTGAATAAACCATCAAGGAGGGAGGAGGAGGTCTCACTTGCGCCTGTTCCCCCTAAATCTCAAAGAGACCTAAAACTCGATCAAGAGAAAGGAGGTTCACTTAAGTTGTTCACTAATTCATTAAATAAGGTTTAAACGTAATTCAGCACATTTAAAACAGTTACATCTTAACAACTAGTCCTAGGGGAGCAAAATGTCACAAGAAGCACGTTGAGGACCATAACTTTTACGAATGTGCTACAAAATGTGCTTGAAACCACATTATATTGCATTCCTAGATGGCTTTTTTTTTCTCAGACTCACATTACTTTTTTATTTATATTTTTCCATCTCTTTCAGCAATACGAGATTGATGATTTGAATAAAATCCATGGCAGTGTATAAAATGTTCCGAGTATCATTGAATAGTGTCCAGAACAGATAATGTATCCAATGGCTTCAAGAACATTGTTCTTCAGGCTACTTCTTTATGTTATTGAAATAATCTGATAGACTTTGTTACTTGAAAATAACAAGTTTTCAGTGCTACGAACCTTTTCCGTCTCCAGCACAAATCATAAAATGAGTCATTGGGTCTTTAGTATTTTCTAAACTTTTTAGGCATGTTTCCCGGCTTTGAAGGGGCAAGAGGATCTGTTTCAGCTGGTCTACACCTTTTAAAGGCATTATCTCATTTACTGCTACTCGTTGATCATAGCCCCATCCGGTCGCGAAAGCACTCTGTCCTGGCATGTATAGAGTCGAATTCTCCGGAACATCTAATGGTAGAAATATAAAACAAGTGTATAACATTAAATATATCTTGCATGAACTGCGCTGTAATAATTCACTAATCATCATGTAAAAGTTACAAATGTTCTCTTTATTACGTAAATATTTAAAGTGTTTGTTTTGTTTACCGATACTTCAAATCTAAAATTACCAAATACCAAAACTATATTTGTAACAACATTATCTATGGTGAAAAATTCACTTACTTGTTTTATGCAGAACACCATTTTATCTTCTGAGAATGTGTATTAAAAAAAAGTGCCATCTTGATATCTAGGATATTTCTCAAGTTACTACTTTGATATCACCCTTACGCAATTCCCTGTAAAACAGCAATGACTCTTGTTCTAGAGATATTTGACTGATCATTAGGTTGAGACCACTAACACGTCAATAGAAACTGTAATATTGCCCTATTTAAATCGAGGACAACACATTGATCGTTGGTATTATAACAATGATAAAACTACTATTTGAGTCCTAATTAGCATATTCATCAATTTTTCACTCAAGTGCCTTTCCTTTTAGAGGTTTTTTTTGACTTATTAAACGTAGAATATTTCATGGAGATGAAATGATTTAATAATAATAATAATTTGAAAAACATAATCTAAAGGCTGCTTCAGAACCGTTTTAAAACATCTCACGAGGAAAGAAGACAAATGTACTGTTTGGCCGATCCCTGATCTACAGTTCGATCTATTCGTATTATTATTATTAGCTGGGGTACCCGTCTCCTGGACGGAACTTATGTAAATTCATGATTAATGACAGGTTATCTTAGATCATGAAAAGTTGCCTCCCTTACATGTAATTGTAAAAAACACAAAAATGCCCATAAAAACAGCAAAACATAAAATGTGGAACCCCAAGTTTGCCTGTATTTCCGCACAGACCCAACAAACCTTCGTGCCAAATTTGGTGGAGATCCATCAACAGGGAGCGAAGTAGTGGTAAAAAACGCGAAAACGAAAAAATGCCCACAAAAGCTGCAAAATGCAAAACTAAATATTTGTATTTACCCCCGCATGGACCTAATGAACCTCCATACAAATTTTGGTGAACATCCATCGACACCCTGCAAAGTAGTTACATGGGCATACAACAGACTACTCTTATATTTATATAGATGAACATAGCAGAATCGTAAACTCTGAAAGGTAAGGGTTTTAAACTAATCGTGTTCGTTTACTATTACGCATAAGGATATGTTTTACTTCAAAAATAAAGAGTAATAATAACACATTTTTCGCTCTATCATAAGTATTGAACAGCATTTCCATTAATGTAATTAATTTTTAGAAGTTATGGGTTTAATGATAGTTTTAGTTCCTTCAACAATAAGAAATCCTATCTATACGTTACTATTTTAAAGAATGTATTTCATACAGGAGAACAGAAAAGTTTTTGAAAAAAATACCAAGCGACTTAATTCTAGGATAACATACATATATATATTTCAAGATACAACATTTCGCATATAAGGCTTTTTTCTAGAATATACTTTAAACATATACATTTTTAAGTTACAACGTTTTGCCTACAAGGCCTTTTTCTAGAATACACTTTAAACATATACATTTTTCAAGTTACATCGTTTTGCCTATAAGGCCTTTTTTTAGAATACACTTTAACCTCATTCATTGTTATATCATTTTGATTTATTCTGAACATCGTGTCTCATCATGCTAGTTATATTCAAGAATGTATAAAACATAAAATGACTTCTCACCAACTGACGGAAGACAAATTGGTCGAACGTAAGGCTTGTAAGTAATGGGACGACCCAACTTTAGCAGGGCAATGTCATGGTCATATGTAGTGAAGTTGTAGTTCTCGTTACGATGTATCTCTGCTACTTCGAACTCTTCAAGATCTGAACTGTTATGTACATTCAGCACACCTATAATAATACGCCATACAGTTTAACACATTCAAAGTTTAAATACGCTCATTAGTGTTAAATAGTGGTGTATATATAAAGTAAGAAAAATCACGTTTCGTCAGAAAGTGAAGAATTATGTTTTATCTCGGAAAGTTTAACGAACTTCATCGATCGAATTTAAAACGAAACGTCTTCTCTTTACAAGTTCAACCACGTGAATGAATCCTGTTGATTGTTTCCAAGATAAAAGTTTCACTTAGTTTATGATAAGATGGGTGATAAATGAAGGAAACAGCTAGTTTCAAAGGGCTTTTATAAAAAACGTATTACATGCAACAGAACGATGTTACAGTAAGCCTAATATACCATATTTGAGAAGATATTGAAACAAAAACCTAATAACTAGGAAGGCATTCTTTCGCGAAAACAATATCAGCCAATGACAATTAACGTTTCATTTGGCTTTTACAAGTTTAACGTGTATAGAGAAAATATATATATGAAAATTACGCTTTAACATGTTTAATTTACACGAAACTGTTATATATCTTAAAGAAAACGGTAACCAATAATGATTTGTGATACATTAAGTCTATACGAAAATAAGGTGTATCATAAGAGCTGAACTCAAAATATAAAGGTGTGTTTGTACTGCAAATAATCTAGCAGCAAAATAAGAACAGAAGTGATTATAGATTCCAGTGAATCAAAGAAAAATGACAGAAAAAAGAAAACAACACAAGGAATTAAAGTCCAAAAGAATAACAGAAGATAACAACACACTACTGTCAGTGTTAAACTCGATGGTGTACGCTGTTCGGCGACTTTTCCGGAAGAATGGAAGTAGTCACCCGCTATTTTTGAGAAAAGCCATTTTTCATTACTCCTATCTGCATTGTCGTTTGTCTTGAACAGTAGTCTTAGGAAGGTTTGAGTTTTTCTGTTTTATCTCTACGGTGGGAAACCTTATACAGTCCTCTCATTATTTCCTGCAGGGGTCTAACCTGCATGTTGTGTAGGTCGCAGAGAATCAACATGTCAAGGAAAAAAGAAGGTATCAACACAGTGTGTTATAGACTGCAAAGAATCAAAGTGCAGAAAAAGAACAGAAGGTAATTACATTTGTATATAGGTTACAAGGAATCAGAGTGCAGAAAAAGAACAGAAGGTAATTACATTTGTATATAGGTTACAAGAAATCATATTAAAACATTTATGAATAGAAAGACAGTTAATAACAAGTAATTGCATACAGTAAAAATAGTATCAAATAGCAAGTAAGAGTAAGGTTGAGGGAAATTGATCGCTGTATATAAAAAAAAAAGAAAATATTCAACGATCGTTTCAACAGTACAGAATAAGCGATAATTTATACACAGTTATCGTGTAGCTTAGGCCTAATTTTCCAAATGCTTTTTTTTATAAAAACAACACGTTATAATACACAATAATCAATCACAAAAATGACTGTGTATAATAAATCGTCATTTAAAAAAGATAATTTTGATTTAGAAGATATACTCAAGTGCTATCTATATATCAATGGTCACATTCTAACTCTGTCCCTACCAGATGGGTCTCCAAAATATTTTTGTTTGTTTGAAATCCTTTTAATTACAATTTATAAAAAACCTTCGGTTGCTTCTTTTGTAGACATTACAATAACCAAGCAATAAAACTTTGCCAATCAGTTCTTTCGCAAAATAGAATTATGCAGTACCTACCCAACTTAACGGTGATATCAGCTGGTAGGAGATTTCGGATTTTTTTCGTTTGCGGATCCTTATTTTGTAAGCAATGTGCCGCTGTGAGTATCCATTCTCTGCCTACTATCGATCCGCCACACCTGAACTAGAATGGAATAAACAATGGCACATCTTGTGTATTTGCAGGTTCTTCCAGGCCTTTACAGTTGAATTAGTTATAAAACTGAATCATTTAGGCATACCTATTATTCACTGTAACTGTAGACTTTATTTACAGTTACAAATGCGGAAGGTTGTACGAGTCAATGGATCAGTTTGCATGAATATTTCATAGCGCCATTTAGACATACAAAGCATAAAAATTCTCGTGAATAGATCATTCCCTAAGTTGTATAGATCTAGGTTCCGTTATTGATATTTCCCACGTTTACTTCCTCTTCATTTGAAACCAAGACGTCATTCTACAACCAATGAAATTTATTCCTCTTGGTTACCTTGGCAAGATATATAGTAAAAGTACCAAGACATCAAAGGGTTCGTTTCGCATTTTTCTGGTTTAATAATGAATTAAATAAAGTTTAAACTCAGTGAAAGTAAAATGAATAATCATTTAACTGTAATTAAGGACTGCAACAATAGACGCCCCCCCAGTGGCACAGCGGCATGTCTGCGAACTTACACTGCTAGAAACCGGGTTTCGATACCCGTGGTGGGCAGAACACACATAGCCCTTAGTATGGCTTTGTGCTTACTAATAAACAATAAACTAAGCAACAACTACACTCGGACACTGCTCCAGGGCAATCATTGCAAAATATCATTAGTGGACTGTCAAAACTTATAAGTTAAGTTGAATAAATAGCTACGTATTGCGTGCTAAATGGTTCATTAACATTTCCAAATCATTAACACCCCCCCCCCCCCAGTGGCACAGCGGCATTTCTGCGGACTTACAACGTTAGAAATCGGGTGAATGGTACACTTATTTTATTATTTGTATGTTATGTATGTTGTTATGCCGTTTAATAAATTTTAACAAGAAACACAATGATTTTATTCAACTATTCAGGTTGTTCCATTGAAATTTTTACCTTTTCTTTCTCTTCTAATCTGTAATACACAGCAGCCATCCAAGGCCAAGGTTTTTCTGCCCTCGTTCCACCAGGTTTGTTAACTTCTTCTATCACTTCATCCATGCCGTAACCACATGTAGAATAGTCTAAACATCAGAAAATGTCTTCTATTACGTGTATCATACGTTTATCAATTTCACCAAGTTTCTAAAGATAATCAGTCGATGAATATCAAATTTTACACTAATATAAATTGTATTCTATTTTATTTTGTTTTGCGTTATTCATGTTTAGCAATTGTATATCTCAGGTGACTCAGCTGCAAACTATGGGCATAAGACGATAAAATTCGGAGTTAGATCCATGCGATGGGCTGAGAGAGGATAGCCCACTATGCAGCTTTGTGCTTAAACAAAACAAAAAACAGTGCATCTCACTAACTACAACCAGACCGAAAAGCTAAACACAGATCAACATTTTTTTTCTGATGCACTGACTGACCAAACGCAAAACAACAGACGATTATAATGTCAGAGGCTTATCGGAGAGTGACAAAAGCATATAAAAAACTGATGTGTCAGTATCATGTTTCTGCTCGTAAAATGTCTTGTGTTTTCCTATCGCATTCACGCAGTTGACCAATCAGATTCTAAATTGTAAACTGTTAATTGGCTATCCAAATGGCCAATGGTAACTGGCAGCCAGTTGGCCTTTTGAACTGTCAACAGTACACTCTTTAATCAGTTTGTGATGATTAATTACTGTCCACCATATTTATACGTTCTTGTCTGAATTTCTATGACCTGTTAACTGCTCTTGCTACAAATATAGATAAAAATTGTTATTTTTGTGATTTTAATGTACAGTTAGACTCTGTTTCAAACGCTTGTTACAGATTTTCTAGTATTTTTGGACCCTCTTAATCTGCAACAATGCATTAATTTTTCTACTCATACACACTCTACACCTAGCGATTAATCAGTAGTTCCCCTCTCAAATCTTACAGTTTAAGATATCCCAGTTACTGACCAATAATGTATATCGTTTTCTTTAAATTTCTTTCTTTCTGCGGTAAATATTATTACGTTTCATTCCTGCAAGAGCTTAGAACCATCCAAATTTGCTACCTTCTTTCGGTCGTCTACTTTATCTGATTCTTCAAACTTTGCAGAATCTGTGATTAACAATTATAACACTGTATTCTTTTATATTATTAATCTTACTGGTCTATTATGATGTAGAATTATTCCTATAAACCAGACATCTCGTTAGTTTACTGATCTGTTGCTATAAATGAAGGTTCATGACAGGATATTAGAAAAGAACTGAAGAAAACTAAACTGTTCACAAACACGTATGGTATGAGCATCTTAATTTCTATGTTGCTGCCTTAAAAGACGCGAAATATGGTTATTTTTCCAACTTAACTACGCCTGAACATAATATTAAGAATATTTATGGCTTACTGAATCCTTCTTCTGTGACTCCTTCGATTGCACCCTCTGTCAAAGTATGTGGGATGTTTATTTATTCATTTTTTTTTCAGTAAAGTCGAATAGATAAGATCTAGTATTTATAATATGCCTCATTAGATAATTCCAGTAGTCTTTAAATGCTCGATTTTTTTTATTGGGCATTTCCAATAATGTTTCAATTGATTTTGTCCAATAAATCTAAGCGTCCATTTTGTGACCTACCTGAATATCCTGCACCTAAGTTGTTTTTTCCCTGTATTCTGATTATTGCTTTGTTACCCAACCTTCGGTAAATCTTAGTATCTGAAGGTTGTGTTCGTCTGCAACTTAAATCTTAAGTAAACTGTCGAGTTCTAAAAATACCTACACTTTTGTAATTGTGCCTATTTGCTTGGCATGGGCCAAAGATGCCCCAAATGTTTCTTCTATCTTATTTTATGTTCCAGCAGATGAAGATAACAGTTGAGTTTCAATGTTGTTGCATATCTTATAACGGTAA